AAAACAGAGATAGCAAAAACATGGAGATCAAACGATTTCAGATTTAGATGCCTAAGAATGTAATCGATAGAGCTTGACTTACTGTACGAAACTATATATGTGATATTTCTCTATGATCGAAAAAGTTCATAAACAATGATTTTTTAGTATTTCTACAATTATCTAGGAGATAAACAGATCACCAGAAGAAATTTAATATTAATTACCTTTGTAGCTCATTCAATTCTGAATTTACTCATATATATAAAACGTTTATTCAAAATGTTCAAGCAATGAGATTGTCCGATGTAAATACTGGTCGTTGATATCATATTTTATTTAAGGGAAAATATGACGAGTACTAGTGTCTAGAGATAGTTTCTTCTTTAACCCACATTCACGCATCCATTCATATCCAAAATTGAATCTGGCCTTAACTTCTTCTCTTTCTAACAAAAGTACATAATTATTGGTTATTTTCAATCTGTCTCCATTGCCTAGGGTTGTTCTCCTTCTGTAAAAAAAAATCCTTTAATATATCTATCTTATCTGATTTCGACTATCTAATAAATCTTATTCTAAAGAAACGAAAAATCAAATCTCTGATAAAAAGATGATATTTAAATAATCAACTGTTTTCTGCATTCATCGATTCATTATGGATTATTCAAACAAGAATAGAATTGGGTGTGGGTGTGGGTGTGGGTGTGGATATATCTAATCTTCATAAACCTACACTCACATCCACGCCCACAGCTACACACACCCATACCCATACCCACACTCACACATCCACACCCACACCCGAATTTTTTCCGATATTGAATCAGATTTTTCTGCAACAAAATCAATATTAAAATTGATTGATAATTTTGATTATTTCTGATCATGACTGAGCTATTACTTGACATTATTATTTATTTAGTGTAAAATTTTCTGATTGAAGTTAGATTATTTTGTAGAAAAATCGAAATTATTAATTGATTGATAACCTTGAATTTGCTACAGAATCATTCAATTTTAATCACAAAATTGCACACTGAATAAGTAACAATATCAAGTAATAGTTAACCCATAGTCAACAATAATCAAAATTATCAATCAAGTTTAATTTTGTTTTTCTTGCAGAAGAATTCTATTGAAAATTATTTGCACTGAGTGTCTGCTGACTATCTTTTTATAAAGAGAAATAAAATGATACTGGTGATTTATGAAGCTATAGCCTTGAGAAAGAAAACAAATGCTTAACTATTATTCTAATTATCTTTAAGAGTGTGGGTCCTCTCTTCATCGATACTCATTTACATCCCTATAATAAGAAATCATCTATTCACTCAGTCGAAAGTCGAACGATAAATCCTACTTATCTTGCATAATCACAGAAAATTCTAGAGTTATATGACTCAGATTATACTTTCTCTACCTTTCTCAAGATTTATTTTACATGAGTCATAGACATTGTTTGCTTAGAATTTCATCACAATTAGAAACAAAAAATATTTGATATCGACGAATGGAAAAATTTTAATTTTCGTTGTTTCCCTGTTCACTTTTTTTTGTCTATTTTGATTGATCTTTATCTGTACGAGTTTATGATTCAAATTGGCTGATAGAATATTTCATGATGGGTAAATGTTCATCAAAAAACTCAGGCTCATCGATCAATGTATCGGGAAACAGTAATTATATTTTGATGATCAATGGTGTACAAGTTAGTTTCGCATCTATTATTCATGAAATAATAAACCAAATTAGCAAAGAAAATCGTTTATGGATGCTAGTTATCTGTTTAAGTTGCATGTTTATGATAATTCTACTGATAATTTTTTTAATGTATGCTCTTCATGCTGTGAAACATCACACTACACAATCTTATAATATGATGAGGAATATTGAAGTTGGTATTGTACATTTGAATCGAAACATTGAAAACATCACTTCTCAAACTGATCATTTATCTATTATTCTATTTCGCGGAAAAACAGATTGGCAACTAGAAAATATTCATGCAGATGAATATCATCCATCATCGGTTTAATTTCTTTTGCTCTCGAAACATAAAAAGTTCTTTTGTCTTATTTTGTCAAATATTGATTCAATCCACACATGTTATGTTTTATGACGTATTCTTTATTCTTAATCTGGAATAAAATTCCCTGCGGTGAAATATGCAGAATTTTTTTCCTTTTTTACTTCTTCCTGTTTTGGCTAACGAATGAGAATTAAGTTTGATGACAAAGAAGGGTAATGTTAGCAGTCTACCAATGAAAATCTTCGTATTCATAACAATGAGGTATATATATATATATCGATAATAAAGAGTTCACAATCATATTGAGATCGTTTTCTTGTTTGACTAGTGATCATTAATGTTACTTGTCTGTAAAGGAATACGTACTTAAACAAATCAAAAATTTCTTGGTAGAAAAATGAGAATCCCGTATATAGCGTCAAAACAACACAGACAACGACGGCAGCTTATTGAACTTAACGCCGGAACCAACAAAAAAGTTATCAAACCGTCTATAACGATAAAAGGAACTCATAATAATTTGTCTATCTGGCCTGATGGATCTGATTCAGATGGAAATTCAAACGGATTAAAAACAGTTAATACAATTCTTAAAGATGGTAGTGATCTACTTGGTACACCAGCCAGATTGTTGAACAGTATAGGACAAAATTAGCTCGTTTTTCTTGTGCTCACTGGAGTCATTCTTGTTTGTATCTTGCTCTTATATTGTATCATTCGGTATCATTACACGTATGGAAGAAAACTTTTTAAAAAAATACCAAACACAAGCAAATTAGAAGCGATCATGTCATCGAACGAAATGATGTCACCATCGTCGCCAGCACTGCTTTCTAGACATCAAATAAATGAAGCATAGTCTATGCAGATGAACTCGACTGAAATATCTCTGGCGGCTTCTTTTAATAGTTGCCAAGTCGATTTTTAACAATAGCTTTTTTTTCTTGTGATTCTGCTATGTAGTAATAATCAAAACAATGCAGGGTGTCGGTGTGCAGATAAATGTTCCTTTCAGTCAAAGCCCCATGCACAACCTCTTCAGCCGACTCGCAAAGATACTCACTTAAGCCCCCCTCAGAAATGATTTTCCACATAGAATGATTTTTTTGCGCTGAAATCTTCAGGGATGAGTGATCCTGGAGAGATACGCTTCCAGTAAAAATTTCAGTTCGATTGGTCGTACTAGACCGGAGTTCCAGCTGATTCATAGGTCATTTTTGGCCTTCAGAAGAATCGACAAAACTTGAGGGTGTGGGGTGTGAGTGTGTGGCTGGGTGTGGGAGGGTGTGGGGTATAGGGCGTGGGTGTGGGGGTGGGGGTGGGGGTTAGGCAGGGTGGTTGTTTCTCTTATATTAACTCACACCCACCACCCACACCCACACACCCACACCCACACCCACACCCACACCCACCACCCACACCAACATCCACACCCACCCACACCCACCCACACCCCACACCCACCCACCCCCCACACCCACACCCCGCCCACACCCACACCCCACCCACACCCACACCCCACCCACACCCACACGCCGATGTTCGAAATGAGTTTCGATGGCTGTTTTTTAGCATAGAAAAGGACTCATTCAATAGTATATTTTATGTCATTGAGTATAGTAACCTCTCCTTGTATACTCAGTTAAAGTTTTTTAGAGTGGTGCAGAGTACAGCAGTAAGTGATAGATCTTACAGATAGATAGGGTGAATGTGTAGTAAAAATAAATAGTTCTCTATTGTGCAGATGCTAGCATCTCGAACATGATTGACTGAGACTGTGATTTGCATAACACAATGAAGTGGCTTGCTGGTTCACGTAATGATCATAAGGCCCCAAACAGACTAGAAAAGTGAATTAACGTTAAAGTTGAATTAAGTAATGTGATTGGTGTATTAAGAGGTAAATTGTCTCTCCTGTTATTTTCTGTACACGAGATAACGAACGAGAGAGAAAGCAAAATAGATGCCCACACCCCGTCCTCTTCATTCAAGCACATGCAATACAGATAAGGAACAAAGAGTATCAACTAAAATTGTCAATCTTTTCTTTTTTTTCTCTGTTAAATATGTATGCGTCCTCGTCTGTACTATTGACTCTTTATCCCGTTCTCTAGTCAAAACGTTATAGTCACTTTTCAGTATATTTAAACAATTTAAATAAATGTATTTTTGAAATATTGAGAAATAAAAACCAATAATTCTATTAAATCGAAAGTTTACTTTGATGATTTGTAAGAATAAATGGCAAAATAAAATCGAATATTAACAATGATCAAATCAAATCATTTTGCTTTATCATTTTAGATAAATCTTTTTCTCATTATTAAATCATTCTTTATTATTTATTTCGAATATTATATTCAAAAACATATTGGATAAAATAAATATTACTTTATTATTGTAACTAAATATTTCTAAAATTAAAATATTTGTTTTTTTTTTTCTTATTTAATTCTACCAATAATATACAAATACATTTATTTTAAATCAAATTGAAAAACAAGAAAATTTATTTTGTTTATTTTAGATATTTAATAAATAAAAAGAAAAACTAAATTTTAAAATAAATCAAATTCTTCTTATCATTGAATTCTTTTTTGTTTTTCTTTACATAATAATATTTTTAAATATATCTTTTTAATCTTAAAATTATTATTATCGAAAAATCATTTCAAATGATGTTAGTAAACGTACACTAAAATTCTTTATCAAAAAAGAATTTTCATTAGACAAAAAAAAACCAAAAGCATTTGTTAATTAAAAATTTTAGAATAATTTTTTATTAAACAATGCTTTTTCATTAATAATTATTAAATTAAAAATTTATTTTATCATTTAATTAAAATTTTATATTCATTTTAAAAATAGCTTCAACGTAAGAGAAGATTGGAACATCGAATATATTAACTATTGAAGAATGAATACATATTTTTATTCATCAACTATGGCTAGTTCTCTCTAATTTTGTTTATATTAACATGAATTAATATTATGCTAAAGCATTCAAATGATGTTGTAAAATTTGAGTTAAAATTCCTTGACGTTTCAAATCTTGTGGTAAACCATGAGTACTGCAATTATGAAGCCAAAAATAGACTCCTTTACACTTGTTACATTTATCTATATCAGTGAAATATATTACATTTTGATTTGGAATTAATTTCAATTGAACAATATCACCTGGTGATTTTTGACTCCAATGAACATGTAAAATAGATTGTTGATTTTCACTCATAATTTTATCAATATTTGTCTGTACTTGTTTCAAAATAATTGTTTTCGGATACCTCTGTCGTGTTCTATAATAAAACACATTAGGTACTAATGATGGATCTAATATTGGATTGAATGCAATTGAAAGTGTAGCAAGATCGCTACACATACAAACCATACTTGCTCCCATTGAAGCTCCAATTACTATAACACGCTTATATAATTTAGAATATTTTTGTATTAAAGATCGATAATATTTCAATCCTTGCCATGAATAGGTTGAATCTTGCAAATAAAATGATTGGGCGGGATCAGTTAAAAATAATGTGTCCGCTTGTAAATCAAATTTTGTAAATGTTGATTTCCATTCTGTAAATGTAAATCCTCCGACAAGCAGAGCACCACCAGCAAAACTAATAAATAATGTTTCTGATCTGTGAAAACAATCGCTTCGAGGTTCAATAATTGTAGCATGGTGCGGATGACACCGACATTGTGGATTAGCTGGATTATATGTTTGGCGATATTGCTCAAGTAGAGGAAATTTAATTGAAGTCAGTGCTGATATTTTAGATAGATAACTAAATCGTAAGCGACTTTTGGAAACATATTGCAAATAAACTATAGACAATAGAAGCAACAATACCAAAGTGATCAAAATAGCCAATATTACAAGCAATAATGTAATAAACATTTGATTTGGCTCGTTGTTCGTTGAAATGCAATATCAGTAAAAAGTGGATAATATCATAAAGAAAGATCAAGATGAATCCAAAACTATAAACATCTAATCTACAAAACGAGAATACAGATTCATTAACGAATTTTTGGTTTACATATAACTGTAATAAGTCAAATAATAGAGATATAAAGAAAGAATAATGAAACCTGTCGCTGTGATCTTCTACAAGAAGCCTTCAAGGCCCTGAAGACTGATCTGACGTCGGACCTACTGTCGGAGAAATGTTATAAGACCTATTGAAATACAAGTGATTAGGTAAAATTCATTATATGACAACAAAAATGGGGTAGTTACTTTAATCGCATACTCCTTTAATGAAACGTTCACTTTTCTAATAATAAATTCTAATAACAGCTATGTCTATGGTTCGAGATTCTACATTGCTTGACTGTCTAGAAACAAGTGGTGATGTGTTAAAACAAGAAATCTCCGGCAAGAATACGGTTTTCTATTCTGTGTGCTGTGTCATGTTGATATTTTTCGATCGTTCTTATAATTACCTATCATTTTTCGTATGCGTTATTGCATTTAATAAACAAAAAACATAGAAACAACGTAATATAAATTTGTGTCGTCCTGTCGACGTGGCAATGACGTGTCATGAAAATGACTAATACGACATATTCTTTACTTGTCTAAATATTCATAAAGCATACATTAGAAAATGGTTTAAAATGGCAAAGAACGAGCACAATTTTATAATTGATAGACAGACATGTCATTTTCATGATGAAAGTATTAATGGTATATTTGATGGTCATTTTTATACGTATGACAATTTCTGTGTATCATCTCAACATTCACCACGAAAGATACATGCTTTTGTACCGATTGATTATTTGACAAATATTGAACAGAAACGATATCCTGTTATTTATATGAACGATGGACACAAATCTTTTTCAAATGAAGGATTATCAAATAAATCCTAGGGAGTATGTTACTAAAAAGTTGTCTTTTCAATTAATATTTTTATATTCAGGTTCGAGAAACATCATCAAAATTTCATTAAACAGATCAATCAAAACAAGTGATTGTCGTTGCCATTCATCCAATCGATCGCAATCGAGAATATACACATTCACATTGGATGTGATAAGTCGACTTCAAAATTACAAAATTGTTATAGCTTAAATACTCTATTTTGGACTTTCAATATAGAAAATATACTTATGGTGGAGTAGATGATGGCAGTAACTATATTGCAAATCACGTAAAACCCTTTGTTGACAGAAACTATCGCACATTATCTGCAACCAAACATACAGTAATCGTCGGTATGATATTAATGATTAATTAACATATGATAATCGCAATTTTGCAAATTCTAGTTATAGAGGCTTGGCAGCATTTTATATGGCTTTGTCTCATCCGACAATATTTGATTTTGCCATCTGTATGTCATCATCATTTTGGACTGGACTCGACTAGTTAATTGGTTAAAGTTGAACAAACCTTTTTTGTTCGCTTGAAAAATTAACGTTGATTTAAGTAAATCTTTTTTGAAATATATTTTATTATAGCCACAGCTTTATTCATAGAAATATGATCACATTTTACGATCAGACAATGGCCCCATTATTATATATTGATTGGGGTCTGTCAAAAGACTGCCACGTTCATAATTTCATTATTGGTAAACTTATTGTAAATTTTTTTTTTTATTTTTAAACTTTAGAACGTCTGACTGCTAGTCGATCGAGTGTGATGGCCAAATTATTAACAAAAAAATATGGTTATAAACATATTTCTGTGATATCAAATGCGCATATTAATAATACGGAGAAACTCTTGTTCACATTCATCGATCTGTATGATGATTGCGCCGTATATATATGCTAGGTGATCTTGTTTTTCTTCTCTTTGATCTATCCATCAGAACCTTTACGTGGTAACTATTTCTCCAAAAAACCGAGCTCACGTTCATTCAAATTGTAGTTGAAACATAAGAAGCGTTTTCTTTCTTTCTTTTCGTAACTCTTCACAGATAGAAGAAGCAGAAGGTACATGTGTAATCGAGGGTGTTTCGAAGTAGTAAGCATTAGAGAAAATCGACCATTTTTGAAAAATTTTCTTAGAAAAATTTCTCAAAATCGCTGAGCAAAAAAATGAATATTCGATTGTTCGGAGGTCATCCATTGCTTAGGACATCCCTGTATGTGATTCAGAGGGAAGAAAAAAACCAATTACTATTCAATTCAAACATTAAAATTAAAATTCTCAAAAAGTAAATTTTCAGTGGCTAAAAACTTACTTACAAAAATTTCAATCGACAAATCTTCAAATAAAATGGGCAATTGCCCATTTGCCTCTCCCTGGCTACGTCCCTGGATTGAATCTCTTCATATTATTGTATGATTCGCCATAAAAAAATTTAAAATATTGCTCATTTCTTCTATTGATTAGCTCAATAACAATGTTGACATATAATTGAAGAGCAATTTTTCACTTTCTGATGATTGATAAACTGAACCATATTCAAAATTATTCTAACTACTGTGATTAAATTGAAACAAAAGATATATATTATGCAGTGATTTATCTACTGGGTGGGCTGGATGGGCGCCGCCCACCCGAAATTTTGATTCGCCCACTTGAAAATATACAGCAGCCATTCGTCTACTGAGTGGGTCGAGTAGGCGCTGCCCACCAGAAATTTCGACTCGCCCACTCGAGAAACGAAACCTAGATAAAACACTGATATTATGTTCCGTCATTCTACATGGAAGATTATTGACCAAAATATGTTGATACTTTAGATTATTCCATCACCATAATAAAGTTCTAAATTCAATAATTCGATGTTGTACAAAGATTAAGCCATGTTTAGCATTAAATCGAGCAGTATTAGTATTCGCACACGGTTTACAAGTTTTAACTCGATAATTTAATTCATAAATCATTTATTTTGATTATATATGTATGGAAAGAAAGTCTCTTAGTTTTGTTCAATGCATTTTTGTTCATATAGGAATTTATCACATAATTATTATTTCTCAAATAAATCTTAGTAATGATGTATTATTATTTGAATATTAAAGAAGAAAAACGAGTTTCTAAATATATCTCTTGAATATTATTCTTATAATTAACTTCATCAGTTGAGAATGTAGTCGAAATGTACTTTTTTCTTCTAAACGAAGTGAAATAGACTTAATCTCTCCGAATAACACGAAGATAAAATTTACGTCTATTCCGTTTCATAGTTCAGAATATAGTTCTCAACTTATTATTCGTTTGTTAAGACGATCGAAACAAATCACTCAAAATCAACTATTATATAAAAAATGTTGTTCTTAGATCCGTATCTATTAAAGTTTGCTATCCCATTGAGTAATTGAAAGTTATTCTAATTAAACTAATAAAAGCCATTGTGAATATTAATATTAATATTGTATATAGATTTGAGAATCATTTTCATTTAATCAACTGCTATTTTTCCTTTCTTTTTTCATTTATACATAAAATATTACAATTGAATAAAGAAATTTTATTTACAACAAAGGAAAATATTTCTGAAAATTTTCTGAATATGTCATTGGTTTTGAATCAAAGAAAATATATTTCACTTTTGAACAATTCGCACGAGCAGCATCAATTGTAAAATACTGTGTTGCAAACAACAAAAGTTCATAATTGACATATAATGTGTTAAGACAAGGTAAACGTGTGTAGAAGTCGAAAAGAAATTGTTCGACATAATCAAGAGAAGAGCCACCAAGATTAAGTATCGTAAGATGAGGAAATTCAATAACCGATAATGTTTGTTCATATTCACCTTGTTGATGTGTTAACTTCATCTTTTGAGCATTTCTATTAAATACTGTCAATTTATTTAATAATGGAAAAGCTTGAGAGATTTGAGCAAAAAAAATCATGTTCGAATGGACACCACATAGCATGTGCAACGAAATGATGAACATTTACGAATAAACCACCAAGAAATTTATTAATAAACATATGCATGCATTCCAAAGTAAATGGAATCGAGTAAATATGGCATTGACCCATGTTGATTCTACAATAATCAGTATAACATTCAATATTATATCCTTTTTCGATGAGTGTACGTACAACATGATCAGGTGTTGGTAAAAGTTCTTCATCTATTATGACTCTATCACTAATAATATTCAAGATAAATGTATGGAAGTGTGACATTTCACTAAGAATATCATTAACTAGATGATTGCCATCAATGAATAAAATTCGACGATAAACAATAAGAGATAATGTAAGTTTTTCTAATTTTGACATTTGACGAAGCAATGGTACAATTTTATTATCATACTCGATTGTTTCACGAAATGAAATCAATGAGAAACATTTTAGATTAGACACAGTTTTCTAAAAAACAAAAAATAATTACAAATATAAAATGATCGCAAAATCATTTATATAAGAGTAGATCTAATCTCTAAGTAATTACATATTTGGAATTTTACTCATATCCTCTTTCATTGATCAATTTAAAAATGAATATTTGATCATATATATTGATAAATTTCTATGACAAAATGTTTCTTTACCCTTTCATAGATAACCTGATGAAACTGAAGATATTTTTATCTAAAGTCATTCATCATAACATCAAAGTTTCATTTTTTTTTATTATTACAGAAATATTTCATTTCTTCATATGATAAGACTTTACAAGATCTACACCGTATAATAATAATAATAATAGATTAATAGAATGTCAATTTTATAATACTATTCACAATAATATAACCTTTTTTGATCGAAGAACGATTTTTAAAAGGTTGAAAAGAAAAAGGAAATTTTCTGCTTTTTCTAATAAAATTCATTCGAAGAAGTTTCTACCGATCAATTTTACACTAAATCAAAGATTTCATCGAAAATAAGGTCGACAATAGCTAGTTTACTATTATCATTATCATCCTTTTCTTAAATCATACATGATATTTATTTTCTGGTGATATTTTCAGGAATCTATTCTTCGTTGTATAAGTATTTTAACACTGTACCAAGAGATAAAAGTATTTCTCTGTCATTTAAAAAAATCTTACCATATTATTGATAGTCATCAATGTATTACAAATCTTATCAATTTCCACAATAAATGTATGTAATTGACTAAGATATCCATTAAGTAAACAAAGACAATCATTAAAATCGTTAAGCCTAACATTTAAATAAATAATATTTGATGAATAACATGTCCTAGATGGTAAATCAATAAATGCTTTTGGTGAATACAATAAATCACTATATCAACTGTAATTAAAATGAATTAAATTATTAAACATTTGAAAAATAGTGGTAAAAACATTTTTAAACAATTTCAGTATATGTTGAGCTATGCTGTCTACATTAATCGTAACAGTAAGATGTGAAATTTGATGACTGATAATGTAAACCAATGATGATTCATCTAGATATATGCAACAAATAAAATAATCGAATTATAGTTTCTCTTCATTTAAAGATTAAGAAAATAGATAACATACCATTGAAAATACGACATGCCATTTCAATTGGAAGATTAATAAGACTAAGTTTATGAAATTTCGAATAATTTCCAATACGAAGAGCACGATCTATTGATAATGAATCAAGAGTAAGACATTGAATATCGTGTTGAATTCGAGGTAAAATTAAAAAACAGAATTTATCAAGTATTGAATTGTTTCTTGAATTATCATGTTCATTTGATAATATTGTTACTAAATTGATAGACTGTGTAAAAGTAATATCTCGAGCTAATCTGTCAAGTTTTTTTTTATCGACTCCAATGAGTGATATTAATACATCCATATTATTAAGTTTGTTTAAAATGCTGAGCAATTTCTCGTCGCATAGATCAACGATATTAACAGTTGAATTGTTCATGTTCAATTGTAAATGACAAATATGTCGAATACAATCGTTTATATATACGTCTATATTCATTCTATTTCATACCTGAGGTTGTCAACAATGATTATATTAAATAGCTTTTCCTTTTTGTTTTTTATTTCAGTTTTTTTGAGTATGCTTTATTTATCGTTACATTCATAGACGCTTACAATAATATTAAATAGCCGGATGATGAATATTGTGACCTTTTCATCATAGCACAATTCTTTCATAAATAAATTATAAAGTATCGTCAAGAATGAAATTAGCAATAATAAATGAGTCTATTTTATCATATTATATTGCATAAACATATAAGATATAAATTAACTTTTCAACATTATGTAATAGAAGTTTTTAAGATTTCATGTCTAATGTACTTTCATTCGTTCCTGGAACTTATATGTTCAATATTTTCTCACTAGAATGAACATTCTATTAAAATTGATATTTTTCTATATTTTTTTTTCACTGAATATTATATGAAATACAAGTTATAAGAATACATAATTAGTTGTAAATAAAAACGTTTTTTGACATTTTTCTTTGTATTCTTATTTGAGAATTCCATGAGATAGCTGATTGAAATATGAAGTAGAATAATACAATCAATATTTGTTGATGTTTTTTTTTGTGACAGCGATTGACAAATCATAAAAAATTTTAAAAAATGCCATGAGTATCGAACGAATTATTAAGATTTTATCTACACTAAGGATTTAAGCAGGCGCTGTTTTTCAAGCATGTCATGTTTTTTTGTTCAAATTTTCTTTACGAAACTTCGTTTGTCATGTAGAAAATGTAAGTATCAAATATAACAAGAAGAATCTCTAATTCTAGACGATAAGAAATGATTTTGTTTTGTATTATTTTAACTGCAAAGAATTATGTTTAGTAATAGTATGTGACTATACTGTTCATTGACCAATTATTTATTCGTTCGTTTTGAAAAGTTACAGTTCGCGCATTTATAAAGATTATTATCATAATGCTAAATGAAATGGTTACTAAATTTTATTGTTGTTGCTGATTCATATTTTGGTTTGTGGTAATATGCTAGAACATGAAATATCTTCAACTAGTTAATCACATTTATCCAAAAGTTTTTATCAAAAATCAGAGTTTTTCTTTAAATGTTAATATTTTCTTTTGTGTTTTTATTCGTCAGTTACATACTGTATTCAGTCAACAAATGTTTTACCTATGTTCTTTTGATACACATAACTGCTTTGCATCATTATAAAGATGGTTTTGCTGTTTTTACTCAAATTTTATCACAAAATTAGTGCTTAAAAAAAAAGAGCATCCAGACCACAACACAGAGGTTTAATCCAAAGACAGACAGATAGTCCAGATCGATGAAAACGAATGACAGGCATAGGTAGACCAAGCCTACGGAAGGTAGGTTTGTTTGAACTTCTGATCTGCAATACTTGCTGCTAGAAACATTTGTAATAGACTACATCAAAACAATCGGTTAAGGAAGAATTATTTTACTTTGCTGGTCAAGTTTTTGACATCCAGACTGTTGATTTCGCATCAATTGAAACATGAGCATTTTGTGTGAACTAGGAGGCATTGCACCTAAGCCACAACCACCATTTCGCAATCAATCTTAACGGTTTGGTTGATATTTATATAGTTGATAGGCCAAACAAAGTTAGGAAGACACCCAAAATTTTAGCTCAAATCGAAGAACCATTCCAGGAATATAGACGATACAATTAAGGAAGGATGAACTATATTTGTAGTGTTTTTTTCCAAGCAGTACTTTTCAGTATATTTTCATTTTCTAAACAATAACAAGAGCTATAGCCGAGATTTTTTTACCATATATACTATAGACCGTGAGCTATCTTTTGATTGTATTGAAAATACCTTTCGGCCAAGTTTTTTTGGATTGCTATTATATACCATTTTTTAGAAACTGTCTCCATATCTATAGAGCAAGCTAGTCAAATCAGCGTGGTAGATTAGCATGAAAATGGTCTCATTTGAAAGAGCACATTCAACTGCGTCAAATAATGTTTACAGAAATTCGGTAGTTTGAAATTTTCTATAGAAAATTTTTTCAAAAATATTGTGATATTTTATCACCAAAACCTCCTATGGAGAAAAAATCTGTACTCAGTATTTTTTATTTGTCATCACTATATATATTCGTACTTTTGGAAAAATAATTATATATTCTGATAGTCCATGCAATCCTCTACAATTCGATATATAAACATCTAGAATTATATTTGTTCGCTGAAAAACGCTCAAGCACACAAAGGACATCTCTATCATAACATTTCTTCGAATTGTGATTTTTTGCTCTTTGTTTCTCTATGTTTTTTTGAATTGTTTTAGCTAAAGACGTAAGCTAATACGAAGAAAGTGATATATTCTGATAGAGCATGAAATATTGCGTCTTCTGATGCATGATACAAATGGTTAATTCATTATTAAAAACATGTATGAGACAATGATCATTTCATAATGATAAACCTTCCATAATAGCATTCGTAGTGTATTTAACATCATCTATAACCGTTAAATTATCAAGAAAATTCCATAAGTAAACAATATTCTCCTTCATGTATGATTTACTACTCAATGAAAAAGTCTGGTTGTCAAACCCGATAATATTAAATTCACAAGGTGATAAGGTTTTATTCAAAATGACATTAATAATAATATCTCGTACATGCATTTTGATCATTTCGAAGTCATTTTTCATATCATCAGAAAGTTCTATAAAGAACACTAATGATCGATAACATGGCACTAATTTAAGAAATCGTCCAATAAGTGATATATTATCATATTTTCTTTCTATTAAATCCCAATAGTTTCTTCAGAAATAAATATGTTGATTCAATTGCTGCATTTGCTGCTTTTTCTTGATAATAATAATGTGGTGAAAGAAGAAATGTCTTTACATCTTTATTACTACAACCAACAGTTGATATATTACCTGTTTTATCAATAACACCACCATGTGAACAGTTAAGAATATTCGTCGGTTTTAATACCGATTCATCATCTTCAATTTCACCAATATAATAACCACTGGTAAATATTTTTCTTGATTTATTGATGGAATAATATTATCAATACATTCATAATAACATATGTCACAAGGTTTATGACAATTTAAACATATTGACATATGTATTGTAGGGTGTGGGTGTGCATGTGAGTAAAAACAAGTTGCTAACCCACACCCTATTTACCAAGAATATTTTACGTAAAAATCCTTATACGATTTGTCTAATAGCTGTGAATATTGTTCATATTTTATATTTTTATTTGGGTTTTCTCTTCACAATACTTGCAGTTGGTTATGATACTGAATTAAGTATCAGTAGTATTGGTTTTTGTCGGCTTCGTTTCTACATTTCTTTTGTTCTCACATGTTGTCAACCAAGCTGTCTTATATTAGCATCTATCGATCGTACATTAATCATTTCATCAAATGCTGAAACATGAAAACGCAGTATACGTCGTTTGATTGTAACAAGTCTAATTAGTCTGACTTAATTTTTTTCCTAATTGAAATTCATGGATTACTATTCATGAAAATTTTACAATATGGATCTGATTACTTTGTCTGCTTTTATCACTCAAGTGCATACACTACATTTATGGGCTATCATGCCCTTCTCGTCAATGGTTTTGTTTCACCTCTACTAATGACGATATTTGGTTTATGAACGGTGAAAAATATTCGTAGTGTACGTCATAGAATACCAAACCCTCATGTAATGAACACTGAACATGTAACAATTAATAGAACACATATAATTCAATTAAAAGATAAACAACTTATTCGAATGTTACTCGTGGATATTGTTGCTTTTATTATTTTTAAATTTCCAGTTACAATCTTACTTATCTATCAACAAATCACACAATACCATTAAAAATTTTCAGAATAACAAATCATTGAACAATCACTTCTACAAATATCGTACTTCTGATATTTTATTGATAGTAGTATTAGTTGTTACACAAATGTCTTGGTATCAAAAACTTTCCGCATAGAACTGAAGCACATTTTCTCAAACATTGACTTTTTCTGTTTTCGTCGACCATGATCATGTCTAAAAAAAGTAGTCAACAAAACAAGTACATGTTGTGAACCATTGTAATTTAATGTTATTTCTGCTTATATCTACATATTTATTTCCGCATATAAGCATCTTGAGGAGTGGTGTTCAATTGTGAATGTCTATTCATTATATGCACATTCGATCTCGTCCTCCAAGTTAGTTAAGTATTGTAAGTCAATATCGTTAATTTGTCCTAATATAAAGTCGTCGATTTGTGAAAATTTTGTATGCAGAATAATGAAAATGGTAGATCAACATTTTCTTTTTGAATAAATCAGAGATAATCGCGTAAATGATCATGACTTTGAGATATCGATGCATTATTTCTTAAGTTAATTATGAAAATTAGAAGAAAAAAAAAAAGGCAACTAGTCATTTTTGTTAGAACAGTATCGTTTTTCTTCCGTTGACGCAATGCATCGAACATATATTGATAGAAAATACTACACACTATTATTCCTTACGTGTGCAAAGGAAGTCATGAAAGAACATATAAACTCCTCTACCTATTAGAAGAGTACGAGTCTTCTATTTGAAGTACAGTTTCTTGCTTTTACACTCTTTACTTAACACATTATTAATAAATAGTTTTATTTCACACATCGAACAGTCATACAATGAACAATAAATAAATTATGTTTCAATGCAAGTCGATGATAAGCAAGGGAAGTACTGCGAACTCTTTTGAATCTGAATCTGAAAAAAATCCGTGAAATCTTGAAAATCACAAATCCAATGTTTCCTCTTACGTAGTGGTAAGACAATTTCACTGAATCGATTCCACTTCTATGCGCAACTAAATTGATATTTGATAATTGTCCATAATACTAAATACATGACCTAAAAGAGTTTCTTATTTTCTGATCTTTATTTATTAATATGAGAAAAGTGATATATGATGAACAAAAAAGAATATAGAAACCAATGCGAAAAATACGGATAGAAAGAGTTTGTCCTATTATAAAACTCAATGAGCATCCATAACCTTATTAATAGCCCGTATAACCACCTGGCAAAGTGTCTGATGGACGACCAATAATGCTATCATTGTTGAGATCAACATGAGTTGTTCTCTCGATCTTGCTTTCTATGCCTAGTCAATGATAAACAATAATATTATACGTGAAAGTGAAAATATATCAGAGGTATTCACCTTCGCCTCCAATATATCCATCACGGTTGAGATCGACACCGAATTGCTTCTCAGCATTTTTCTCGCCTCCAACATATCCATCGTGATTGATATCGAGACCGGTCTTTTTTTCGATAGTATTGCTGATGAAATCTAAGCAGAATTTGAAAACAAGATTCGGTTAATTGGTCGCACAGTGAAGACAGTATCTGCAGCTAAAACTTACTCATGATAGTCGTTGATTGGCGTGTTTACGAATGATGAAGAAGCTCGACGAAACTATATACGTATATAAATACGTGATTTTTTCTTCGATTATTTACAAAAGAGTAACGTCATTATTTGAATATAGAAAAAGAAAAAATGTGATTTATTACAAAGAAATACGTATTTTTTTCATTTGTTATTCATATAGATTCATGTATGGTTTTATCCTTCTATCATCATAATTACACATTATGCGAGCAAAAATATTGCATTGATAAGACGGTGCATAGATATCATGCACACGTGGTCACCATAAATAATGAATATAATCAACATATTCATATTCATATTCATAGTTATTTTCGATGATCCTCGCGAGAGATATTACTTTATCTTTACTTGATGAGATAAATGTAAAGAAAATCGTCATATTTATAAAATAAAGATAACGATAATCGTTATTTGTAAAAATAAAGACAAAATAAAGAATAAACAAAGCTTTTTTAAGTCACAGAAGAATGAATCAATGATTATGTCATTATATAATATCAAATAAATGCTATTGCATTCGAAAAATGGTGTCTTCACTTGGAAATATGACAGACGAAACAACAGATCACAAAAGAGGATACGCTATAGTTCGATTTCTCATCAATTCCTTCCATTTGCAATTTGTGAAAATTGCAATCATTAAAATAACAGTTATTTTATTTAAAATCACTTACTGTTCGTCTTGAGTATTGATATCTTAACTGCTCTAAATAATAGAAAAAAGAAGATTTATTCTTACAAATGGCTGCTTAGTGTTGCAGTTTATTGGAAAATCGTTGATCGATCCCGATCCCAAAAAATCACTGATTGATCACCAAAAGTGACGCGATTTTTATGACATAAGTTGAGTTTTTTCTTGATATTTAATTGTATGAATTATTACAAAAGCGATGAAAATATTATCAGTTTTTTCATAATTTTTTTCAATTGAAATTGGCTTTGAGAAAAGTCGTTTCATTTTAATTATAATCATGAGTTCGATCATAATTTGATAAAAGCTATATAGAGAATACAATCTTCAAATGATTCTTTTCATACTATAATTAGCATCTTTCGATGCCCAGTGAATAAAAAAAATGAAAGAAATTTCATTTAAATGATTTTTTTCAAACTTTTCATCAAAAAAATTTCGTTACTTTAATTATTTCGCGAAAATCAAACTCATCCCGATAGTTTCATTATTTTTGTATCATTTTCATTGTCTTAAATTGATTACTCTCGAAAAATTGAAATTATTATATTAATTTCATTTTTTTGCATGATTTTCATCAGAGAATCTTAATTTTTCTGAAAAACTATAATAATAACATTATTTTCATTATTTTTGCATCATTTTTATTTCATTAAATTCTGTATTCTTGAAACATTAAAATCACTGCATTAGTTTCATTACTTTTGCATCATTTTCATTTCATGAATTTGATAATACATCAAAAAAATTGATGAATTTGAACCTTATCTCCACATCTGTCCTTACAAATTTTAGTTTTAAGAAAAACGAAATGTGTAAGGACAGATAGGATTTCGTGCCCTGCTTTTTCTATCAGAAATCATAAATTTTACTACTCTAAGTTTTTGCCAGTTTACATGGCTCTAGAGTAAATTAAATTTCTCAAGAGTCCATCGCACAGCTCCTTGAAGGGCAACCAGCCCCTGATCCTTTCACAAGGCGCAGATGCCACCTATAGCTTAGTCTACTGGTGGCTTAGGCGGAGAATTTTTTCATTGTTATAAGGGCATGACTTGCATTAAATTTTAATTCTTTTCAGGAAAAGATTTTGATGTGTGTTAGTAATTTCCTTGGCATGATATTTATGTAAATTTAATTGTTTTCATGCAATGAAATTTTCGAAAAAATTGCATTAGTTTCAAAAACTTGCTTTAACGTGTCCTTTTCATGCTGAATCATGGCATGTTTTTCACTTTCGACATCATGTATCTGTGGAAAACTTTTCATTAAAATGATGCAAATTACATCATTTTTCGCCATTTTTTTTCCATGGGCATTACCATCGCAGAGTTTTTCATCATTTCATATCGATCTTTTTTTATGCCAATATTATTTTCAGACAAGGTCCATTTTTCATTATTCATATGTCTCCGTGTATTATATGCGCCAAGAAAGACCATATTACCTGGCAGAGAAGAATCAGTCAAAAGAGTATGTTCACAAATTATCTCTTTGAGCAACTCAATACTAGGCGTCGTATTGAATTCGTCAAGGAATATCCAAAGATGTTTTTCCTCTTGTGCACATTCTTTAACTTTAACTATTAGTTGTCGCATGGTCTCAATAATCTTCTCATTTGTAACTCCAGCATGAATTCTAAATGTTTCCAATTCATCAGCAAGAATTTTTACTAAACTAATTATTTACAAACTAATTCATTTCGAAATGTAAAACAAATGAAATAAGAATGACAAGAGAGAAAAGTGCACTCACAAGATAAACGAAAATCTAGTTTCATGTTCAAACTTGATGTATGTATTATGATGCTTTTAGGGAACTTGTTTTAAAATGCTTAGCTAAATTATAGGCTTATTTCTAGAATATGAAATTGCTCTTGGATTTGTTTAAGAAGAGTACGAGTGACTTGTGACTTTATGCCTCATTAAGATATAATAGTAAATTCGGCAGCTTCTCTTCAAAAATGCTTGTATATCAAGGCCGGACATGGATCAGAGTTATTGTAATCCATCATAACCTACCTTGAGTCGAACTCTGCTAACGATCATTTTTTTTCTTTCTCTACACAAAAAAATACAATTTCTCAATTCTTTTCTCTTCGGTCCATTTCATAGTTGGAAAAAATGATATGCCTTGACCTCTTTTCATTCTTGATGTTTTGACGATATTCTGAAGTTGGGACAACTCAATCATGTGATAGAATTTTTTCTTCTTTATCTTTCTCTTCTTACATATATAACATATGGCCTCTATATTTTGAGGGTGTCACTGTGGCTGTGGCTGTTCATCTCACATAAATTGATCCACATCTATACCCTTATTCATACAAACGATATGAAAATTATCAACCTCATGTTTTAATGTTTCTATAGTTCCAGTATTAAAGCTGATGTCAGTATTCAAGTCTACGAATCTTTCCATACTCGAAATTCGACTTGAAAATGGTATTTATCTTCTTCATTTTTTACTACCATATCATAAAATTTTTTGTAAAGAAAATATTTGACCACAAGAACATAGTTTTACATCATCTAATTTATATTTTCAATTAATAAAAGATATTTTAATACAAATTCAAGTCGTAGTTATATTCTTAAATATTTAATGTTTGTTGATACAATAGCATCATTTCTTTATGTATTTGCTTATTGTTCTTTACAAACATCAATATGTCATGTTGAAAATGTAATTGTACAAAATATGCAAAATGTTTCCATTGGTTTGTTTGAATTAAAAATTTCGATAAAAAAATATTTATATTTTGAAAGTTTATGTCAAGAATGTGGTAAACCCTTATACGACTTCTTAACCAAAGCTCATTAAAAATTTGAAAATATTCTGCATCCAAATACTTTACATATTAAACAAATATTTATTGATTTTTTTGATAAAAGACAAGCATTGCTGGGTACTCTAAGGCAATTATCTGAACCACAAGTAACAAAGAACATATTTTTATTTGATGAACGGATGGAGGAAAAAAAACTTCTGAATTACATTCATATCGAAGCGGGTGTGTTTTTTGGGTAGTGTCCACAAACATACCTACATCCACATCCACACCCACATTGGTTTATTGATCATATTAAGAAAAATATATGCTACTCCTCTAGAAGTATAGTTATGTTTGATTAAAATTCGATTAAACCCTTTTTTAATCACCTTCGATAAATTTTCGAGCGTGTCATCAAATTTAAGATTAAGAACATGAAATGTTCCTTTTGATTTTCTTTTTCACTAACGATAAATATCAAATACAATAGTACCCAAGAGAAACTCAAAATGTATTTTGGATTTAGTTGATTCAACGAGAATCAATTGTTCATTGAAGATTTCTTTTTATTATTTATAAAGATTTCAAAATTAAAAAAAAGCAATCAAATATTTTATTTGAATTAAGAATAATTGAGGGTAAATATGTCTATACGAGAAAGGAAAACAACAGCTCTATTCTGACTCATTGAACTCTTTTCATATTGATCAATCTGAATTGAGTATAGCGAAAAATTCATTGAAATTAACTAAAATAATAAAAATAATTATTCAATTCTATATAGAAGACATTGTTTTCTAAATATACTTTCCCCACAACCATACAAAATCAAATTCATCAATCGTTTCTATAAGTTCTTCTGCATTAGCATCATAATCGAGTTCTATATAACAAAAACAAATCAGAACAATCAATATCTATTCTTGTGGGCATATATATATTCTTATAATTACTTTGCACCAAGTCGTAGTTCTTCTTAAACAAAAAATTTTTTGATTTATCATCATTAAATAAATTTATAAATGCTTTTAAGTATTTCATCACGTGAGTCACATTAAAATATTATTTCAATAGATAAATAAGTAATTAATATAGTGCAGAATCATCACTTGAATAAAATACTTACCAATTTCATGAAAGTCTTGGTAATTTGTTTCATTATCACCTTGACTATCATAATTGTGCCTTATTTTCTGAACCATGGCTTTACGAACATCAAAACATAATGTCAATATCCAAGCTAAAATAAATATAAAAAGAGCGCAAACAAAAGTTGAATATTATTACTTTAACTACATGATAGTCAAGTATATTGTCTTTAGCATTATAAAATAATTGAAATACTTTTTTAATTTCATCGTTTTCTTCTTCAGTCAAGTCACGACGTCGATCATTTCACAATTTTATTGATTCAGGAAATGTAAGATTGTTATAACTGAATGAGAAAAAAATTAACAATTGTTTTTCATAGAATATATTTTTTATAAAAACAAGAACTCATTTTCTATTCATATTTATAGTTGATTTTGATAAGAAAGTTTTAAATGAACAATTACTAAGAGTCACCATCAGTCAAAAGAACGAGAAAAAGAATCTGAGCGACATCATTCTTAATAATTATATGACACATATATGATTGGTAAAAAAAAATGATATATGGTATTTTAATCCACTATTGGAATTTCATCACTCAGTCAGTTTATCCTCATGCTCTACTTAATAATTTGTTTATACCTCTATGACGATGACTAACAAAGCTCGTTGTATCCATTGATTATCATTGTAACGGTTTTCAGACCGTTTCGATTCACTTCAAATACATTGTCCTCTTCACTATATTCGTATGTTCGTGCATTGACCTTGTGACCCTCTCATTGTTATATTGCGGGACCGCTACCTCTGTTTCTATCCGCTCATGCATGATCACTCTCTTATATAAGGGAATGTAACCAAAGAAAATGCATCACTAAAGATGTGCAGATGAAACAATATACCATTATGATGACGGGCATAGGCGCACACTCTTAGCTCGTCACAATGACACTATGCAATACTATTCATTATTTTTGGCTACTGACAGCTAAAATCGACAGACAATAGAACAACTAGTCTACACGTTACTTTCATTTTGGCATTTAGCCTTGCCTAACTCTAATCACTCGACTGTGGCATTCTCTCTGATTCCGTTCACGAAATATCTTTTTTTTTTCTGTTTTTTGTAGATTAAAAAACTATACAACTATGGATACAACCGATGATGACAAAAAAACTCTACCAATGTTGGGAGAAAAACAACTTATCACGGACGAAAAAACAAAACAAGTAATCGAAGAAGCAAAAGTTCGAGATGAACTCGAAAAAATGAAACGTCAAAGTGAAGAAATAAGACGAATGGAAAAAACAAAACGCCATCGTGAAGCCGAAGTAAAAATACGTAATTTCATAATTGCAAGAACAAAACAAGAGAAAGTTGAACTCGAACGTGCTTCATCCGAAACAAATAGATTGTTTTTTCTTAAAATATCTTGTTATGAAGATTGCAATATTAATGTACCCGATGATTTACAATCGTTCGATATCAATTGTATATTAAAAGATAACAATTATTTTAATGATAATATATTTAATTATGCTGAACATTTCTTAAATCTATATTCGTCAAATCCAAACTTAGAGTTATATGAAATTCACTATTTATTTGACAATTTAATGGTTAATTTATTAAATACATTTAATAATGCTACATCATTGAAATATTTAAGTACTACTTCAACTTACTTAGGAAATGATTCTCAACCTGATTGTGCATTTATATATAAAAATATAAATATCGACACTGATAAAGAAGAACGATGTTTGAAAGATTTTGTTGTTTGTATTGGCAATTTAAAGTCTCCAAATGAATCTTTATCAGAAAAATTTATGATTGAAGAAATATTAGAAGATATGAGAACTATATTGTCAATACAACGTCGTAAAAAGATATATGGTTTTATAAGTAATTGTTTATATATAAAATTTTTTTATCTTGAAAAGGAATTCAATTCAAATTCCTATGAATTTTTTCAAAGTCAAGAATTAGAAATGTTCAGTTGTTTATCTGAAACATTATCGTCTACTGATGAATCACGAAAAAGAAGAAAAAAAAAAAGTTCAAGAAACTTATGTGTTAATAAAGATACATGGAAAATATTTACAAAATTCTTAACAATGAATAGTGAATTTTATGAATATACAAGATTCAATATAGATCCTCATGATAATTTACTTGCTGATCAATATCTAATTATAAAAGGGTTAGCAAATGGTTTAACATCAATGATTTATTTATTAGAAAAAAATGAAAATGAATATTCGGTTGAAGAATCACCACATCCTATAATGAAAATATTAAAAGAAAGTGAAGATTCAAATTTATTTTCAAACGAAATTCAAATAACAGAACAATTAAAACAATTTAATGATTCAAAAATATTTCATTTATTTTTTCAAGATATTCTACATCTATCACGTCCAGGTAACATTTTTTTTTTCATTCTTTTGAAAAGATTCAAAGGGTATCGACAAAAATAAGAAAGCAAAAAACTTTTCAAATAATGAAGAAAACGCTTAAACACACAAGGCTTTATAAGATAGTGACACTGTCGAATCCGTAATTCTGCAATATAACTTGACTGAATGATGCAGTTTAGAGAAAATTATCTTTCATAATAGATGCATAACTAGCAAATTTGTTCTTATGAAAAAAAAAATACTTCGAATGAAATAACTATTTTCTCCTCTTGATAACATATTAAATAAGTAAGAAGAAACCTATCTGTAAAGTTCAATTGATTGAAGATCAGAGTTTTTTTTTTGCTTTTCAAATTTTTAATAGATTATAAAACAAAAGAAATAAGAATTATTTATTCTCATATTAATATAGATAAAGATAATATTTAAAATTATAGAGGGCATGTTTGAAGATCTAATTTTAAAATAAAAAAAGATTCTTGCTTAGAATAAAACACATAAATCGAAACAAAAATCTTAAACAAGAAGAATGATGATTAATAAAATGTTTTGTAGAAAAATAACAGATTAGTAATAGAGAAAAACAAAAATACCAATGTTTCAAATTAAACGAATTAACGAAAAAGGAAGCTATTTATTCTCATCATCAGAAGATAAATAAAAACATGTTATTACTACTCAAGAACAAAGAATTGTAGCAATTACTATTCCATCGTCAATTTTTAGAGATAATAATGCTATTTTTGTGTATGAACGCGTTATTTTTTACTGCGACACGTTCAAACGCATCACTATTTATTTGCAATGCGTTTAATAGTATCGCTTTAATCCGTCGTACATTGTTTTTTATTTAAAACATCATCTAATTACTATTTAAACGTGTTCAAGGAAATACGTCTTTTGTTCTCAGTGAAATGCTTTGAGTGAAAATACAGTTATATGAGATTTTAATATTGTGAACAATAGAAATTGTTCTGATACAAAAAGAGCAAATGCAGATGAATTGAAAAGAATTCCGTGTTTTTATTTTCAAAAGCTATAGATAAATTTATATCTCGGTAGCGACTGAGTTAAATATTTTCCTGTGCAATGATCGAGCATAATATCTTTTTATTCATCTTAACGACATTTCTAATCATCCATGATTAGTGTGCTATTTTTTTGAGAGACCTAATTCATTCAAAGAGACTAGATTGGAAAAGAATAAAATAATTCTGGTCTCTTTTTAATTGTCTTCACAGGATTCAACTGAACTTTTTCAGCTATTTGTTTTGTTAAGGTTGTTCATCAATGTTTGTTTTTATTTCTCTGTGTAGCAGCTCCAATGAATAATATTTCGTCAATAAAAGATGTCCTGAACGATCATAAATCTTTCATTTTCATCAGACACTTCATAAGTGACACAGATAATAACTATAACTATATTGTTATTGTTGTCTCTTTCGTTTTTCCTATAATTTCTTATCATTTGTTTCTTTAACAATCAAACGGATTCATTATGAAATCATTTATATAGATGAACCTATAATGTAACAATAAAGTAGAGTCAAACTTAAAATTATGAATGCAAAGTATTTTTGCTAGGTCAACTCTTTGAAAATATATTCATGTTTTTCTACTTATTAATTAAAAATCTTTTTGAATATTAGAGTAAAAATTGTATATATATATATATATAAAGGTACACTGACAACCCTCTAGAGATAAGAGTAGCTATATGTCTATAGGGTAAGTGTGTAGCGTATTAGCTTAGGATGATAGATATAAAGGTATGTGACTAAGAGCGTAGATGTAAGACACTAGAGTTAGGAGTATAAGGATGAAAGTCATGACGGGAGAATATAGATACATATGTCTAAATCCTTTTCCATATATACGTATCTCTACGCTTACATGTCTATATAGGGAAAAGGTAGAATAAACAGATAGAAGTCGAGCTCTGCGAGAAAAAGTGCATTATATATTAAAAGAGACGCATCGTAAAACCTGCGTTTCTCCACAACTTGTTTGTGCTTTTAGTGAAAAGAATGCGTCCTAAATAGTTGGAGAGTTTCTTAAAGAAAAACGTTCTTGTGGATGGTAATAGCTGCACATCAACAACTGCAAATCCGACGAAGATACCTCAACTATTTGCTTCTAATAAATTGTAAACTTCTTTTAGTAAGAAAAAAAAAGCAAATTTTTTTCTTAAAGTTAAGTTTTTGTTGAATCTTTTCTGTAAAAATTGTTGAGCTCATTGAAAGACTTTAATACCTATTTTGTAAAATGTCAACGGTTTTTCGATAGGCATCTGTTCAGAAAAGGCATGATTAACTCGACTCAATCGAATATGGTAAACTATTGTTTTCATTTTCAATTAATTGTTAGATTCATAGTGTCGGAATAGAAAGTTTCATCATTATTATCTCATTCTTTCTTTCGAAGAAAATCTATCGATAAGTTTATATTAGGTTGATATATAGATCATAGAAGACGTTTATGAGAAAACATTGGAAAAAACACTGACATCTTTACAGAATAGTAGTTCATAAAACTAAAAGTTTACTCCTATACTCAAAATAACATGCTCTATAATAATAAAATAGATAAGTGCACATAATTCTAAGACATTTTACTTCGTGTTTTTTGCCTCTTAGTCAAGTCATTTTTATTTTAAAAACTTAAAACATTCTTCAACTACTCTAGAATTTTGACTCCTTAT